AATTTTAAAGAACATAATCTTTTCTATGAAAAAATTCGTATAAGTGAACCTATTATGTTCAATATTTTTAATCAAACAATTAATCAATCTGAATGTGAGAGGTAGAACGTAGAAAGAAAAATTAGACTATCAGCCAGTGTAAAAGCACATAAAATTAAAATATGCAAAAGTTGGACAGATACAGGATTAAAACACCTTGCCAATATATTGCTGAAAGAAAACAAATTAGGCAAAACAGGTGATTTGAATGTAAATTATGGGAAAAAAAAACTGAGGTCTTAGCTATTGAATATTTTAAATTATTAACTGGGAAAGATATTATAAAATGTGATTTGATTTTTGATATTATAAGACCTTGGGTATGTGCAAGCCCTGATGGTATAATTTTTGATGAGTTTGAAAATATCCAAGAAGTGTTGGAGGTAAAATGTCCTATATCATGTAAAAACAAACCAATCGTTGATGGAGGTAAAATAAATTTAAAATACTCGGAATATAACTTGTGTGAAAAAATAGTATTAAAAAAAAGTAGTATGTATTTTACTCAGTGTCAGATGTTAATACATTGTACAGGTGTTGAATATTGTACATTTTTTGTTTATAACACCATTCAACCAGTTATTATTAAAATAGGAGAGATCAAACATTTATCAGGTCTTTACTTGAAAAAATGACTTATTTTTATTTCAACTATTATTTACCAAGTTTATTGTTTATTTAATTTGTTTAGAATAAATATGTGATTGTTCTTTATTAATTGGTTTGTTTTTTTTTTTTTTTTTTGAAAGATATTGAATAATGATATTTATAAAAATAACTTGCTTTACATAGCTAGGTATATAATTTTTATTGAAATCTTTAAATAAGTATATAATATGTATGAGCATTTGTAATAAATTATGTAATATTGTTTGTATGTATTATTATGTAATAACTTATAACTTAAATTAGTTAACAATCTTAAATATATACTTTTTGGCTAATAATAATTATTGAATGTTGATTTTTGAGTTAAGGTAATTTAATAGTTAGCATAACCTTTAATTTACCTACTAATTATTGTTTTAGATTAAAATTACAATACAAATAAATAGGTTATCATTTTTACTTACAATTGAAAAAAAATTATTCTTTTATGATGGGATTTTGTAGATTAGTCAAAACACAGAAAATATGCATTATATTATCAATGGAAGGCATGAGGTCCATTGTTATTTTATTCAATATTCCATAGGTTTTCAATCTAGCAAACACCCTTTCTACGTGAATTCTAACACTAGCCACAGAATATGTTTCAATTAATTCATGTTCAGTGAATCTTCCATTATGAAGAATTGGAGGCATAACTAATATACTATTTGTATTTGTTTCACATTGTGTTTTAATACTAGGGAATCCCTTGTCAGCTAGAACTACATCGCCAGGTTCCAATTTACTTAAGAAGCCACTGCCATTTGTTATGAAAGTATCACTAGCTCTACCCCCATAACAGTTGGATAAAAAAACATATCATACCATTAGGCGTAATTGCCACTAATACTTTAATAGTATAGGAACTTTTATATCTCGAATACATATATACCCTTTGCTCTATAGAGTTGGGTTGTTCGGTCTTGATTTCAGTGCAATCAACTATGCACCGACAATTTTGATAATTTTTCTTAAATGCTTCAAGAAGAGTTTCACGAACTGTGTATTTAGAAGGCCGAAATATGAATTCTTTAGTTTTTATTGCTAAAATGTGTAATGTATTGTAAAATATCCGAGTTGTAGTTTGACATCTACAATTAAATAAACTACTTATTGCAGAATATGTAATACCTAATTTAATTTTTATTAAAAACATTAGTAGCCGATTTTCTTTATCAAAACTATAGTAAGATGAATCAGATAAAAAACTCAATTATAAATAAAAAACTTGAAATGTAGTACCAGTTAGATCCTTTAACTGTTGTTCATTTTTAATTGATATAAAACCACGAAAATATCTATCAAATAAAGGGTAATCTGGTCCACATAACTGATCGATTTTCTGAATATTACAAGATTTTAATAATGAGGGTCCAGATATTTGAGTCATAGCATTATTATTATCAAAACTACATTCAAAATTAAAAAAACCAGAATCAGTAACATCAAAAACAACCTGAGTACTAACATCAAATGTCAAATTTGTATTATGAAAAACACTTTCAGATAACTCATTTAAGTTTTCAGGTAGCTCATCTTGATATTGCTGATTCGTTCTGTCTTGACGATTTAGTACTCTTTTATACCTTGCTTCAAGTTGTTGATTATTTTGTGTTTTTTTCTTATATGCTTTAGGAAATATTGATGGAATATAGCCTGGACTTTGAGGATGCTTTGATGGTTCATTATTGACAAAATGATCACCACAAACCAGACTACTATTGATTGGTTGCCATAATTTCCCATTGTCATTAAAAAAAAAAAAAAAACATACATATGTGAAATATAACTTCTTAGCAGTTATTGATATAGTATTGTAGCGCACATGGACATTAAACTTACTCAAGATGATTTATTGCTCGAATCCATTGATTTTTCATTTCTCTATCGTACGTTCTATTAGTAAATCTAAAAAACTTTACATAAGAAGTATTCTTGTATGTGTTAGAACAATTAACAACACAACATATACGATTACTCATATTTATTACGGTTTTGAAGAATTTAGCATAACAACAATCGAATTAGGTAAATACTAAATTCGTACAATACACATTACACTATTTTTTTTTTATATTAATATACGAGTCATAACATTAGTACCGCGTATGACAACCAGAGCGCAATGTTTTCGAGCGGAAAAACACTGTCTATAACGGCCGATAAAACGACAAAACAACATAATGTGCAATGTAGGGAATTGCGTTTTTGACGTGCGCCGTTGGCTGGAAAGCGGATCTTTTTAAAAGCTTATCTCGAAACGGTTTTGTATGTATTATAACGATATTCGACAACTATCGGCAAATTACTCGTGACATTTTTTAAAATTTGAGTGTTTTAAACGTTTCGGTTACCATAAAAATATAATATATATATATATATATTCCCAAAGGTTAAATCCATTCCAATAGATTTATGTATATCACTCGCAGAGCAGTGCAGTGTCAAGATTTGATATTCTCGAGTTCTTTATGATGATAATGTATTCTGTGGGGACGAAACCGGACGAAAAAAAAACCGTACCGTGACCGATCAAGTGTACAGTATTTTAATTAAATCCCGTCTACACAACGGATAAGTGTATATCAGAACCGTTGGGGAAAAGTAAGTGACAGATGTTATTATCATCTTTGTTTCGCAGGACAACATAACATTGTAATGCATGTTTTCGTGCCGTCGGTTTTCGACCGTCCACCGCCTGGTAACGACCGAGGCTGACGTTTGCGAAGCCGGTAAAAATGTTAAACAGAGCTTGAAAGATAGCCGTGAACCTATTATAAACTACGTATATGGTAATGCTTAAAAATAGACGATATATTATCAGGTCAAACGACGGTGGCGGGAGAAACGTCGACCAAGTTTTTCCATTTAAATTTTTTCTTTTTTCCTCTACATAGGTATTCTGTATCTGTGCGATGTATTTTGAACCGGATAAGAAGAGTAAAAAAAAAAATAAAAATAACAACCAATGGTAAAATAGAGTAGAATATAATTTAAGCGGAAAAAGTCATTTAACGGATTATACAATTTACGCAAACGAATAAATGTGGAAATGTCATTTAGGGAGAAAAAACGAGCAATCTGTCGAAATAAACTCGTTAGTAATTAAAAGTTGGCGCATCTAGAACATTAAATTCATCAAGTGAGCAAATGCACGAAAAACTTGTTTGCCAATTGATTATTCGTTAGTGTTTTTTTACAAACGCATGTCGATGAACACGATGTCTTTGCTATATCACTTCAACGCGCATTGCCGATATAGGTACGCATTGTTATTTGGTTGCGTACTACACGAGTTAAATAGATCCCCACAACATGCTTGTCCAGTGAGTAGTAAAAAATATAATTAAATTAAGCCAACGAAAGACTAACAATAATAGTAACGTGATATTATATGCGTTAGCATATCAATCAGTATTGTACAACGGTTTTGGAACAATTTGAAAAGAAAAAAAACGATACGTGCATGTACGTGATTCAATTTGCGAAGCAAACGAGTGAATATCGTAAATTTTAAAATTTCCGACATGAATACATTAACCAAATTAAACCGTTACTATGGACTTTGTATTAATTTAATTAAAATAAATCCTCTGCTAATGTCAAAGACGAAGAAAAAATTCTATCATACTTCATTATTAAAACGCATATTTAATGACGGTTACATTTTTATTTTTTTGAAACTTTTGATTAAATTTTACAGTTTACAATTTAATACGGATTTTAAATCGCTTTCGGGTTTGAATATATTATTATTATTATTATTGTGATTATTCAGATTTGCCAAATAAATTTGCAAGTAAATATTATTATTTAAATGGATTAGGGGATGAGAGAGTCACCCATCAATAGTCATATAACTCATAATGAATCATATTTTATTCGACTAAAGGCACTCGATAGGCGTTTAAATTGAAATTAGCTTAACGTATTTGAAATGCACTAACAACTTTTGGAACCGTCCGAGGGTACCTACCTAATAAGATACGCAGCATCTAGTAAACGAAACGAAATTTTTATCAAAACATTACGTGGCGCCATGCAAT